CCCCCCCCCCCAAATTGGAGTTCTGGATCTGCCCCTGCGTACCAACTTGTTTTCGAGTGTGTGTGTGTGGGGGGGGGGGGGGGGGGGTGCCCTTGGTATCCTTTCGGCGCCGCCGGCCGGTGTTTACCTTGCCGACCCCCTTGCCCCCCCCCCCATCCCCCCCCCCCCCCCCCGGTTGGTACGCCCCTGGGCAAAACTGAGTACGAGAGATGACTTTATAACGTGTACGTTTAATGTTTCGTGTGTTGTGAACTCACATCGATGAGAGAGAATAGAGAGTTCTACACCGTGTGCACTTTAACGCTTCGATCCCACTTTAGACGGTTCGCCAGCATTGGGTTCTGAACGTATCGCGCTAGGATTTACTACAGAGGTGCCCGAAAGTGGTTGAAGCTTTCACTAAAATTGTGGAAAGATTGGCTCACCTAAGTAAATCACGAACATACGTGCACTTATATATTAGTCCGTGTGACTATGGCGCTTATTTGGGCCAAATGAAGTGACGAATTGGTGAGCCAATCGTATTTTGTTTTAATCTCACTGAATTTTAGTCGTAATTAACGCCACAATAGCCATATCCTATTTTTTATGAAAAAAAATAGCCTAGCGATAAATACTTTATAAATAAAAAAAAAGATTTTTAATCCTTTTTTTTTATTTTGGAGGTTTCTTGTATTCATACTCCCAGTTAATGAATGCACCACGTTCGGGCACGTCTGTAGATTTTTGCAGACCCTCCAAAGTGGTGTCGAAGCGTTATTGAGAACGCGGTAGTAGTCCGTACACTAGGATTTCCGAGTTGATAGTGCGAACTCGTTCCGTTACTTGGAAGCATGGAATGAGCACGCGCCCGCTAGGACCCACAATCCGCAGCGTGCGGTCCACTAAACTTGTCTAACGTATCCTGCCGCTCCCAAGATGTACAAAGCGTCAGCGTCGGCCCGAGTGTATCGTAGGAGCAGCCCCAGAATTCCCCTTCCGCACAGTGCAATGTGGGGTAGCCGCAAGGTCTTCCGGGATTCACCGGAAATGCCTAATGCGCGTGCCTACTTGCAGTCGTGTATACTTCACCCCACGATAGACTTCAGCCAAAGCTATGCGGGCCACCAGGTTCAATCACGAGCCACTTGGAAATGGCGATGTATACATATTGGTTCCACGGGCCTGTCAGACATGCACACTTCTGCGCACGCGGTGGAGCGATATACCACGTGTTTTCTAACTGGCTCGTGGTTGCAACCGGTGGGCCATGGTTTTGGCGGAATTACATCGCAAGCTGGGGCGAAATATCGTCGCCAGGACTAAAGCGGGTTTCACATGCAGCGATTTTGGCCCTAAAGTGGCGCGATTTCTGCCGTCGCGGCGCTCGTGCCGCAGAATTGCTGGTGCTGGCCAGAGCGCCGCGAAGGCAGAAATCGCGCCGCTCTAGGGCCAAAACCGCTGCATGTGAACTAGGCTTTAGAAGAGCAGGCTGAAATGGGAATTGATTGCAGGACGGCTGGCAAGGTTCCTGCATCAATCCGAGCAACGGCGACGACGCTATTTCTTTGCGTACGCAAAGCGTTTAATTTAGAGCTCGGTATTGCTCGACACAGGTCGGCTCTACGTATCAACGCATTGCTAGAGAGTTTTGGTATTGCGTATACGTGCACACGGAAGCGCTCTGCGTTTGCTTTATAGCGTTGCGTGCTCCACGCTGCGCATGCGCGTCGTCGCTATCCGCCAATCTAAGACCGCAGTTTGGGCTCCGCTCACGCGCAGTTTAGGACACTAGACAGTTTTAGTGGACCGTACGCTACAGCTTTGCGTACGCAAAGAGATTGCGGGTCGTGAGTGCGCATGCGCAGAACGCAATAGAAGGGCTAGCGTATTGCGTACGCACGCAACGCTGGGGATTTTGCGTGGCTGGCTAGCGGGTCTTGCGGGACGCTCTCGAGAGATCTCGGACCCAACGAGAGCTCCAGTTTTAAGATGGCGGTTGCCTCGACTGGCGCAGCAAGGGCAACGTGGTGTTTTCGAAGTCCTGTGTTACGTGAAATTGCGTGGTGTTCAGCTGGGCGATTCTTTCTGGGACCTACCGCGGTCGAATCAGATCGCCCTGCAGCTGAAGGAGTGCACAGTGGAAATTTTCGCCGCTCGCAGTGTGCGTCGACGCTGCGATCTGCTCAACGCTAAGCCTATTCCCACAGTTCATCGCCGACGGACGAACGACTCTAAAAGAAATCGCCGAAGTTCTCGCTATGCACTGGACGTCAGGGTCATGAATTTCATTCCGCGATAGCATTGATAAAAGGTGCCGTTTCCACGGGACGACTGACGGAGGCTCCGTGATCGAATTTGGCTACGCACTCGTACTCGTAGCCTCTGTACCCCACAGAAAAGTACGCTTGACGAGCAGCTGTGGCTTTGTTTAATCTGAAATAAAATGATTGGACACTTTTTCTTTTCAATATTTCTTTCCAGGAGCATGGTTGCGCTATAAGCACGCGGAATTCTACGGCTCTAGCAAATTTAACCAAGATCATGCGCGGTGTTCACTCGAAAACGTAACGCACAACTAAATTCGCTCCGAGCAGGTCATTTTTAGCGTACGCTATACTATTGCGTAATGCGTACGCAAGATCCAGCAACGCTATACTAAAACTGTTTACTATTGAGTTATAGTATTGCGTATACGAGCGAACGCAAGCACTGTGGGTTTGCGTTAGCGTTGCTTGTTCCACACTGCGCGTGCGCGGAGCCCGAAACGCGGCCTCGGGTTGGCGCATGGCGACTTCGCGCATGCGCAGCGTGGAGCAGGAAACGCTAACGCACAGCTCCTATGTTTGCTCGTACACGCCATACTAAAACTCACTATTCAACGCTAACGCAAGGGGCTTGCGTTCGCTCGTATAGGTGCAACGCTAATACTCACTATTATGCGCACAAATGAGCGAGAAAATACTTACCTTATTACCTGACACTCGTCCATTCCGAATTCGACAACGGACAACGTCCGGGGACGCGAGATCGACATTCGAGACTTGAGGATGGACTGCCGCCGGGCTCCGGCGTCCCCGAGAACCTCCGAAGTCGCGAAGCCCTCGACAGCTGAGCCCGACTTTGTCCCTTGCGCCTGGCAAATAATTTGAGCCTACGCGAGGATACGCGGGACGTGTAGGATTTTATAGCGATAGATGTTACGCGCAAAAATCGTTCAGTACAACACCACTATTTTTTTATGTTTCATATTTGGGAGGCGGGTACGCGACACTTTTCTCGTCTCTGAGGCACGTTTTCTCACTTTCCTTCAAGTACTGGCTGGCATAGCATCCAACCGAACGAGAAACCGAAATAAATGAAACTAGACCAGGAATCTTGGACACTACGAAATGGGGTAATCTGCACTCCTCCATATTATGAAAATAATCTGAAATATATAAGAAAAAAAATTATCTCATTGAACAAAGGATCAAAACACTTGTATTTGCAATAGGACTTTATGTTGTTCCTCCAATTTATTTTAATTATTGTTTTTATTCAATACGTTCCCGACATCGTTTTCTTCTTTTTTTCTTTTTGTACATCGACTGTTTATAGCATTTTTTTTACATAATAATTGTGAGTTTTGATTTTGTTTGAGAGATGAGCTAGTTCAATTATATGTTTTATCGAGTCATTTATGATTGAAAGAAGTACTTCCAAAATATTTTTACATAAAAAAAGTCTTAGACATAGTATTCTAATTCAAATACAAAGTACAAAAACTGAATACGTATTGAATAACTTGTAATTTAGACACCACCCATGCCCGAGATACTTAGTGTCTTGCCATCCTAAGCTTAAAAAATTGAGCACCCTCGTATATACCAATTTAATACCTTAAAAACCTGAGAAGTTTTCTCGTAAATAAGTCGCATAATACGGTGCAGTGTGCCGAAAAAGGCGTGCTCAGAGCTGAAAATTATTGGAATGATATCATTAAACGAGGAGAAGCTTAGGAGCTCAAGTTCGTCTGCTTCTTGCACAGGGGTTGCGATGATTTCAGAACGCCAAACTCGTATTCGCTGATTACAAAAAAATAAAAAAATAGTGGGTCAAGATTTTAAGGCGTTTAGTAATGAGGTCTACCCCTATTCTTCCAATCACAGCAAATCAAAATTCGGCGTCGTTCTGACGTCACCGGAACCCCTGCGCAAAAAGCAGACGGCAATTGCTCTCCGTATAGTCGCTGACATCTTTAGAAACGCAAGACTTGGCTTTTCATGTCCACGCTTCGTGATTTGTTCATCGGCGTGGATTGATCTGCCACTTTCAAGCTCTCTGGTGACTGCGGAGCTATTAAAAGCTGATCGTGATTAGCCACACCCTGCGTTTCATAAGTTCTCAGTGGCCATTCGGCAAGCAAGGGCTATAATCTACACGGCGGGACCAAGCGGGACAAGGGGACCGGGACATCGCCACCTGCTGCGATTGGTCAGCTCCGCACCGCTGACCAATCGGAGTAGGCGGCCATGTCCGGGACCCTTGGTCCCGCAGTGTAGACCAGAGCTCCCAAGTGTTCCAATATGCGTCTTCGGCGCATCGAAACCCGTGCAGGGGCATGCCAATCAAAGGGTAACATAGGTAGTGGGCAAAGAACGCGTGATAACGATGCGGTTCAACGCGCGTGCCGTCATTGGTTGAGGTCGAGGGCAAACAAAAGTACGCAGGGCGCATTTGGAGGGTAAACAAACGCACGAAGTGCGCAAAGAGCAGACGAGCTTACGGGGCTATGAAGAAAGCCGGGGTTACACTGGTCACACATCATACAAAAGACAGTCTGAAAACACGAGTCACCGAAATATATCCGTGCATCAAATGCCGCGTGCCAAGTTTTCTCCTCGAACTCATTGCCATGAGGCATTCGAGGCACGAATCACACGGTTACTCGAGGTCGAATCTGTTTGCAGACTGTCTTTTGTATGATGCATAGGCAGTGTGACCCCGGCATAAAGTTGTTTGCTCTCGTTTCTGCTTACCGCATCAGCTATATGCAACGTTCCACGGGATACTCCGCCCTGCGTTGTTTTCATGACGCTGGTAGATGTACTGTCGCTTTCAGTGACACAGTGCTGCGCCTGTGCGGCAGCCGGCTCGTTGACGCCAGCTGCGTCAGTTTTGTCTGGCGCTAATGTCGCGGAAGACAAGAACGTCTGAGACGCCTCCGCATCAGATGGCACCGGCTTCTCGTCTGTGACAAGCTGTTCAGGCAGAGTTACATCTTGCGTATCGACTTTGTGCTGAGCGTCAGCATTGGGACGATGATGCTTACTACGTGTGTCGTGTGCCTTCTTGCGGCGGCGTTTCCGGTCTTTGGTCTTTCCGGTCCGGTACAACGTATCCTCGCTAAGGTAATGCCTATTATCGTGGATTACGTCGGTGTAGGCACCGCACGTGAAGTTCGTATCGTCAGGATTTTGTTCCCTTTGACCGCCACCAGGTTGATCGTTTTTGCTTTGGAGATCGTCTTCGCGACTTTCAGTAGTGCTTTGGCGAGTTTTTGATTCGTTGGATTCTAAGGTGAGCGTAGTTTTATCGGGCTCCAAGTGATGTTTGATCTCTTTAGCGGGCCTCGAAGTTGCATCTTCGTTCCTGGGGACTTGTGCAGGACGGAGTGGCAGCTCTTCGGAGGATGTGGCCATCGCATGGTGTTGTTGCTGCTGTCCCGTAGAGATCTCGGCACCTTGTCGTACCTCACTGCTGTCGTGAGGTACACATTTCTTGCTCAGTAACGCTTGTAATTTCTCTCCCAGTTTAGTGTCAACGCCGTGAGGTTTTTCTACAGAAAAAAAAAGCGAAAATCGTAGTTTAACTACTTTATTCAAAAATTGGCACCTTTTTACAAAGGCCTACAATGGATTAAATGCAGTATTTGAGGAGCGATCGTTTAAAACGATTTTGAAGCCATTACACCGTGATTTCGGGGACTGAACGACCATTATTGTTATCAAATTATGAATTGAGCGTGGAGACTGAACTGGTGTATGTGTCTCGTAATGTCCCGTGACATCAAATCTTCCGCTAAATTTAGCGGGGAAAGTGAATTGGAGTATGCTTCCCGTGACGTCAGGTAACGTGGTGTTACTTTTCTTGCTTGATATTGCGGGGAAACTGAATTGGCGTACGGGTTACATGACGTATAAATTTCCCGTCAAATTTAGCGGAGAAACTGAATTGCTGTGTAGGTGACGTGACATCACTTCTCCCGCTAAATTTAGTGGAGAAACTCGATAGGTGTATAGGTCACACGACTTACACACAAATTCAGTTTCCCCGCTAAATTGAGCGAGAAATGCGCGGACGGGCGGACGGACAAATGTTTTGGATTGGGGGTTCAGTTAAAAAGCATGTCATGCTATAATAATACACTTTATCAACTGTTTTTTTTTTTTTTTCAAAACTACGTGCGGTGTTTTGGGTTAGGAACTAAGAATTTTGACATCATTGTTAACTTCGGAAAGAGTCTAATTGAGATAAGTTCGATAGTGCTGGAATACTAAATGTAAGACATTGTTGCTTTTTTTCTTTTTTTTTTTCTTTTGTACACAATTTGAAGCGTTTATGTGAGATTAAATATTGCGACCTTTCTTGGCGTACCAGTTACATTTTGTTCTCTACAGTCTTACAGAATGCTTTGATTATGCGTGTACGTGTGCAATCACCACTCCTGTAATGTACTGTGAACATAATTGATGGAAAAAAAACAAAAAAACTACAAACATCCCTCCGATTACGTATCCGGAACAATCTGTGAGAAATCACATTAAAAGTTTTCTAATCAGGAGTAAAACAATTTTTCTGATACGTTTTGAGGTCCCACTTGTGCCTACATGCCAAGGAGATGAAACCCAAAAGACGACCCAAGAGGTTGAAACTGCGGTTCGCGGTCCCAATGTAGCGTGCGATCCTCAGTCAGTCACCGGGCGCTTACCTTTCCCGTTTGGTTGAGACGTGTCCCTCTGTATGGCCTGCATGTCGTCGAAGGATGGGCGCTCTCCATCTTCTAGGGCTTGTTTCACACTGGCCGTTGCGACCCCTCTCTCCCGAGCAGCATCCGAAACACCCGTCGCACCGTCCGTGGTCCCCTTCACGTGTGCGGTAGGGCTTTTGACCTGCTGTAAACGCTCCGGCCTTCGGGGCGCGGTACCTTGCCGATCAAGATCCAGGTTCTGTTTGTAGATGACGGAGAAGACGCGGTTCACGAGGAACAGCAGTGGCACGGAGGCGATTGTGTCCGAGTACAGCGCGGCGCTCAGGAAGGCCACCAGGCAGACAGATAGGAAGAGCGAGCGGCGTCGGAGGCCGTAGCGGCTGCAACTGGCGTAGGCCAGCCACGGCACGAGATCCGTCAGGAGGGTCGTCACAAGCATCAGTGCGAATAGGAGCAGCACCACAAGGACGTCCATCTGACCATAGACAGAGAATAGTGCACGTTCTTAAGACACGAAATGAGATCGAAGACGAGTTCCCGTTGTGTCAAGCGTGGGCAAGGTACCTTCCGTCTTCCTTTCCTCAGGATTATACATATTTGTTTTAAGGAAAACTTTAAAATTTAAAGTACAGCGTGTCGCAAAAAAAAAAGGTGGTATCTTTTTTTAGCCGTACAAATAAACTATGCATCGCCGAAGGCTCAATCTCCGCCCAAATGTATTTCTATAGAGGTCCGAACTAGATGCCAAAGTTTCAGCATAACCGATATCTTATTCAAAAGTTCGAAGGAATTTTCTTAAGATTTCCATGAGAAAATGGAGCCTATTTTTGCCTGTTTTCCGTAACTGGCGCCATAGCTGGAACCATGTAACCGGCAGCTAGGTCGGTCGCCATTTTCCCATTGAAATTTTCAGTAAATCACTTCTAACTTTTGGTTAAGGTAACGGGAGGTGCTGAAACTTTGGCACCTGCATGGTTCGGGCCTCTAGCGCTATATTTCGGCGGAGAATGAGCGTCGCGATGCGTATTTTAATTTCGCGGTAAATAAAACCTTGTACTTTTTTTTTATATTCTACAGTCGCGTATTCTAATTTCGACGCTATATTATAATCCTCGGGAATATTACGATTCTTTATTGTGTTAAAAAGAAATTTAAAAAGTTGCAAAAATTTTTCAAAAACCCAATGCAAAAAAAAAAAAAAAATGTCAGCCATGGAAATAAAAAACGTATGTGTTCTCAAAAATCTTATTAATATTAATAATGTCGAAATATTTCTGTCCATACTTCTTCCATGAAATATAACGTTGTACGCAGTTGTTCACCGGGAGTAAATTGTTTTAAACGTTTCGTCGGTCGGAGCCCATTATTCTGGAATCTTGCAGACGGATCAGTTGATGTCCAATCGGGCAACAGCCGCTATACACAGAAGACCGGTGCACATAACCATTAGCGTCGGCCTAGCCTGGACTGAACCTAGAACGCTGAACAACATTTGACATATAAAAAAAAACGTGGTACAAAAAAAAAAAAAAGACGACGACGCTTTTGAAATGTAAGTTGCATGCAATATCCGCTTAAAGGCCGACGACCAGATTTGAGATTCTGCAACGCAGAAGATCCTCCTCGTAATGGGTGAGAACGAAACAGGCAACAGTGGGCAGGTAGAAGGGGGAGAGTTGGAGGCAAGTGAAAAGTGGAAAGCGCGAACTGGTCGTCGGCCTTTAAGAGTAATTCATATATATGCTCCAATTTAAGTCCAAATGTGACCGCTATGCACCAACACATAGTTTAGAAAGAACCCCGCTCTGCCCACACCAGGGGCCCTCATCTGGACACTTGGCGTAAAAGTCGGGGAGAAATCTGGCGGCTGTGATTGGCCGACACCGCACTTGACCTTGGCGCCGGCCAATCATAGCCGTCAGATTTTTCGCCGTCTTTCTCGCCAAGTGTCCAGATTAGGGCCCCAGGTGTGGACATCGCAAGTGCGCAGAAACCAAAATCGGGAGGAGTGAAGCTTCTGCGCATGTTCAGTGCCGACAGCAGTGCAACCGCAGTGGCGTGACGTCAGTGAGTTGAGTTGGTCTCTATACGATTCGCTGGAACCACTCAAGCAGCACCAAACAGGTGCATCGTCACAGCACATATATTTTTTTTTTTGCGCTTGCTTGGACAAAATAAACACAATCACGCACAGTGAATGCACCGCAATCCTGCGCTTCTTTCTTTTTGTGCGTGATTGGGTTTAGCGGGTGATATATAGCGAAGTCGCAAAGACAACAATACCCGTGACATGACCATTTGGGTGCTGATTGTCTTCATCAAGATCGTAGCATCGGCTATGCGGTCGGACTTGAGAGTGAAACGTGTAGAGGGAGTAGGTTTTGTCTGGAACACGGCTCGGCAAGGTAAAGCGAGTCTCTACTTTTTTTTTGTTTGTTACAAGTTATATGGATTATAGAAAGAAAAACTGTAATTTAAGGGGAATCTTTCACAATACTAAAAAACATCATGCACCTCTTCCCTTTCTCATTGAACTTAAAGGTACGATTTCAACCTGCCGACTCATTTGACTATATTTTCATCTGAGAAACAAGGGCAAAAAACACCTAGATTGCGTTATGTGTTGTGATGTGTTGCAACATTCGAGCGCGACCGTGTTTTACACCTTCTTTTTCGTACATTTTGTTCCGAACTTTAAATGTTGTCAGTGTTTTTATGGACTTCTAGCTGTCCCTTTTGATGTACTAATCAACCAAAAGAAACGTCGCCAATGGAGGATGTGAAAAATTATGAGCATGGTGTACATTGAACCCGACCACAGAGTATACATAACTTAAAAGGATACTGAAAAAAAAAAGTTTCTTAAATGGCGTATTGGGCACGTCTTCTGAAAATTGCTCACAAAAATAAATTGCGCATTATTGAGGTCGTCTCACGCAGTTTAGGTGGAGATCAGAGCCCGCTTTAAGCCCCGCCCACATAACATTGGCCCCGCCCATTACTACTGGACTGGCTTGGCTGCTTGGCCGAATAGGCTGGCAGACCTAATGTTTCCCTTTCGCGACATCTGGTGCGCCTGGTCTGGCGTCTGACACTGCCAGCTAGTCGTGCGAGCAGACAGTCAGAATCCTCCGGCATAGCCTGCTATTCCACCACCCTCTATCATTATTGTCGGCTCCAAGGAAAGACGCGGCCATGAAAGTTGCGCGTCGGCGTCAGTCTTCGCCTTCTTCCGTCTGCTATTCCACCCCCATCTGAAAACGACTGAAACGCTCGAAAAATGCGACCATGAAAGCGGCGTTCTAGCGTTCCATCATGCAATAGCCACGATCCAAGATGAGCGTCTGTCAGCCTCCTTCGATGTGCGGTAAAAAGCGACCGAGAGGACTAAAAGTCAAAAATAATCAACAAGCTAAATATACCTTAATAGACCTCGCAAACCCTTAAAGGGGTCATGAAATGATTTTCATACTTCTTCCTCCTTAGCGTTAATCCTCAACTCAAATGCGAATTGTGAAATCACGTGGTCGTGACATTCCTTCGGCACCGGTGCGATGACTCCTAGGTTCCACCGTGCTTTTTATGCACACCATAGAACTTGTCATTCCCCAGTGATAATGAGTTCCGTCAAGGCACTCATTGGCCACGAACGCGAATACAAATATTCGTCGACGGATTGATTGTTGACGAGCGTATACGTCCGAGTGACGCAGTTCTCGTGTCCAATGCGTGAGCTGGGCTTGGCTGACGTCAGTTTGGCGCCGGTGACGCGCTTTCGGAACCGCGGATGTATCATAGTGAAAAGGCGGAGAGTTTTCGAGGGCAAGAAGGTACAAAATAGTCCGCTATATTTTCAAATGTTCGTACCGAAAAGCTGGCTTTTGACTTTCTAGCCCCTTTCTTTTGGCCAACTAAACGATATGCGATTAGTAAAGTCCCAATTTAAAATCATTCATCCCAGCCCAAAATTCGTTTCATGGCCCCTTTAAGGCTGTTTCACATGCTGTGTGGGGGGATCGGTGGCCGAGTGGCCTAGCGCATACCAGCTCGGAGCACGTGGAGCCAAAGCTCGCGCTGCAGAACCCAGGGATCCCGGGTTCAATCCTCACTCCTGCCCGTTTCGATCTGGATGAGCATCGTACCGGCGTGCGGTCGTGTATCACTACTGCCTGGTGCACGTTAGAGACCCCAGGCTAGCGGTTGTACTGCACTGGCTAAATTGCTCATCTACAGTCGCCCGTTGAGGCAGACCAAGTTCTAGGCTGTAACATACACACAACCCAATTTTGTTTTCACATGCTGCGATTCTCGTCTGAAATTGGTGCGATTTCCAGTAAATGTGTGATTAAAATCGCAGTCGCACTGTCGCAGTGACTTTGCGACTGGATTTCACCAAGTTGGTATTTTGTCGCAGTGTCGGTGTGATCGCTTTCTCGTCAACCAGGGATGGGCAGTATTTCAAATACAAATATTTTAAATACGCATTTCAAATACTTTGCGTATTTTGCATTTGTATTTAATTACAAATTGGATAATGTATTTGACGTGTGTATTTAAATACTAAAACGTGGGTATTTCAAATACAATTTTAATTAAATACAATTTTGTGGGCGAAAATACATCCCTCAAATTTATTGTCACTGTCCAGAGCAGGAAGAAAACTACGTTCTGCACCGAATGCAGTGGCTCTCAATCAAGCACAAGCGTTTAGTGACTTTGTGATTACGGTGCTAGTCCAGGGCAAGAATAGTGACGAAATCGACGTTCACAGGCAGACTGGCTAAATAAGTGCCTGTGACAACTTGTGATGCTTTCCAGCCTGATTTCCATCCATATTTTTGCCTGGAACATTCTAAATGTGCGGGTCATCCAGATTTTTGTAACTGGTGCGAGTTGCAACAATAAAAAAATCTCTGGCTAGTGCTGCGCGTCTTGGTCGTCTCGGTTCTTTGGTGGTCTATACCAATATGTAATCGACAAAAAAAGCTGCTTGAAGCTCTGTACTTTTTTCACCTACTAGGTCCAAGCTGATTACATTTTTTGTGATTATATTTCTATTACGCTACTAGAGCCTCGCACACGAACTCCCGAGTGTGCGATGCAAAATTAAAATGAGAAACGCAGAAACCCGTTGCAGGTGCCCTGAAGTCGCTGACGCAAATTTTGAGGAATGTGAGGAATTTGGAGGAGACCAAACATTTGGTTGTATTTGTATCTTGTACTTAAATGCTTTTTTTTTGAAAATTTAATTAGATTTGTAATTAAATACATTTTTGACGAAGTATTTTGTATTTGTATTTCGAATCTTCGATACATATTTGCATGTATTTTGCCCTCGCGGCCGCGCCTCACATGAAAGATTCCAGCCGTTCATTAGCCCGCTTTCATCCGCTATAGCTGCGTATTTGAAAATAAATTTAGCCATCTAAAAGCTTTTAG